TTGAGTACGATGTGGTGTGAAAATTGAGTTTGTCATGCATACATTAAAGATATAATCTTGATGTTTTCATAGTGTTTTTGGATCCACCAAATTAACAAATATTATCAAAATTAATGACCGGTAATTCTGATTAAGTTTCTTCAAAAGATGTAGCATCGTAGTATTAAAAGGTGATTCTTCGATTTTGGGCTCTCGAGTTGTAGCTATGTTTTTTTTTCCCCTAGAAACTGAGAATTGTAGGCATGTTAAAACAATGGGTTGGGATATACTAGGTTGACATTCATCCGATTTGATGTCTTGTACACAGGTTTAAGGGTTAGTGGAGTCTAACTTCANTAGTATTAAAAGGTGATTCTTCGATTTTGGGCTCTCGAGTTGTAGCTATGTTTTTTTTTCCCCTAGAAACTGAGAATTGTAGGCATGTTAAAACAATGGTTGGGATATACTAGGTTGACATTCATCCGATTTGATGTCTTGTACACAGGTTTAAGGGTTAGTGGAGTCTAACTTGATAGATCGGTAAAACAGTTGACAATTGAGCCTTTCCAAGAACATGTAAGATGTGGACAAAGACGAATAGAATATGTGAATTAAATCATAGGTTTTTGAAAGACAGAGACGGGGGCGGAGTCAGAATTTTTTTTTCTAGAGGTTAAATTTAATGTAACCGACAATGTAAACTAAATATATAGTTTATTAATTCAGATTATCGAAGTCTAACGCAATGGGAATAAAGTAGTTCATGAGTTAGCTCATTTTGTCTNAGACGAATAGAATATGTGAATTAAATCATAGGTTTTTGAAAGACAGAGACGGGGGCGGAGTTAGAATTTTTTTTCTAGAGGTTAAATTTAATGTAACCGACAATGTAAACTAAATATATAGTTTATTAATTCAGATTACCGAAGTCTAACGCAATGAGAATAAAGTAGCTCATAAGTTAGCTCATTTTGTATTACCTTTAAATAGTAGCGTTGTATGTCTGGAACAGGCACAAGACTTTGTTGTGTCTCTCCTTTTTGCTGATATTCCTGAGTAATAATTTTTTTACTGATGATTCTCAAAAAAAAATTCAGATTCTCAATACATAAAAATATATCTAACAAAATAATATATGTGAGGAAAAAATAAAATAAAGATATGNGTCTGGAACAGGCACAAGACTTTGTTGTGTCTCTCCTTTTTGCTGATATTCCTGAGTAATAATTTTTTTACCAATGATTCTCAAAAAAAAATTCAGATTCTCGATACATAAAAATATATCTAACAAAATAATATATGTGAGGAAAAAATAAAATAAAGATATGAAAAAAAATTAAAGATGAACAAAAAATAATTTTAAGTACATATCAATTTAGTCATATTTTTAATCCGTAATACACTTTTTAACAATTTTTTCTATCTAACTAGTTAAAGAGTTTATAATGAAATCGTTGTCTATTGTATTGCAAAACCTTCTTTTAACAATATTTGATATAATATGATTAAAAGACCTAATTTACTAGGCTTTGGATTGACCATAGATTAAACCAACACTTATTTATGAGATTACGTTGTGCAAAGATTNACACTTTTTAACAATTTTTTCTATCTAACTAGTTAAAGAGTTTATAATGAAATCGTTGTCTATTGTATTGCAAAACCTTCTTTTAACAATATTTGACATAATATGATTAAAAGTCCTAATTTACTAGGCTTTGGATTGACCATAGATTAAACCAACACTTATTTATGAGATTACGTTGTGCAAAGAATATTTATCTGGTTATTTCACTCTAGTTTATTACTTTTACAATCAACGATTATGAATAATCAAAACTAAATCTTAAGTTCCAAAATCATTTGGAGGTATAATATCGTTTTTTTTTCTTCTACCATAATGTAAATCATACCACTAATAAATTAGAAACTTTGAAAGCATAATTTGATGATGTATATATGTGTTTATGCAAAATCAATTAAGGATGTGATGGTGTATATGATGGAGGATGCTCAACACAGTAAGAGACACAGATTAGATGGTTTGATCAGGGTGATCTACTCCACTGGGAATAACTACGGTGACCAGAGAGTCTATTACTCAAGTGTGTAGAGTTCTGAGATTTGTGTGACATCCCCCATGTGTAGGCTTGGCTTACAATTTATAGGCAAGTGAAGTTGGCTTCGAGGAGCTCTGATTGAGGCCCCATCCTCTTAACAAGGAGCGGGGTGATTTCGTGAAGTTCGCCTTACCCTTGTAACAGGCGAGGTAATAGAGGGATAATTCTTTAAAGCTCGCTTTATTTCATAACGGGCGAGATGATCTCGTGAGACTAGCAATATGTCCTTGATGACTATGTTCCCACAGATTCCCGCTTTTTGGATGGAGATTTCCACGTGCGCTGACAATGAACTAGGTCTCTCAGGAAGGTGGACTTGACCCAAATGAAATTGTGATTGAGTCTTTATTGGTCTGTATATGTGATCTAGGCTTACTCTGGGTCGGGCTCATTATCATTTAATGAAATAGTAACATTATCCTACAGGTTTGAATCAAATTGTCCGTCAATACACAAGTAAAAATATGGCATAATTATCTTGCTCTTTTCAAACTATACACTTAATTACACTTTTTTCTCACCTAGATTAAACATATAGCTCTCTAAAATTGGAAAAGTGGGGTGGCAACTTTTTATAAAGAGAAGAGATGGTAAAGCTTCTTCAAAAGTGTAAACCCTCCTACGACAAAAAGATTGTATAGCATCAAAGCAAGGACTGCCAAGTTACTAAAGCAAAAGAGCAATGTGATTTTTTTATGCAGAGGAATCATGTTTGATAAGGCTAAAGTTTTAAGAGATTCTTCTCTCAGGTATCAAAACAAATCATTGCTAATTTTTCAGGACCACAATCTGTGGAACTATAAGAAGATTAAGCCCATTGCGTGCCGCACGCGTGATCTTGTGGGTCCCATTTGGTTGGATTTGTAAGTTAATTAAGGTGTTTTATTAACTATTTCAGGTACAAATCACTGATGTTTAACACATGCAAACATTTCTTTCCCCCCCCTGCATCTGACCTGTTTCCAAACAAGGGGATATCTGAAAGGTGTTCGACCAAATTACCCACAGAATATTATTTTAGGGTCAATTATACAGGAGAGTCTCAATGTATAAATTTATCTCATTTTAATCTCTAATATTTCAATTGTATTATTTTGGTACTCGGAAGAATATGATCTCTCAAACAAACATCTAAATTGTTAACGATTTTTTATAATAAAATTATCACGTGACACCTAAATATGGACAAAAAATAATTTGACTAGCTCTTTAGTCTTAACCACAATTTAAATAGCTCTTCACCAAAAATGTGTAATATAAGTAGCTCTTGACCAAAATTTGGATAATTCATGATCAAAACTGTAAAATTTGGATAGTTCTTTGACCAAAATTTGGGTAGAAAATTGGTCAGGAATTATCCAAATTATTTTTTTGTCAATATTTAGGCGTTACATGACATGTTTATAATAAAAAATCGTTAATAATCTGAACATTGTCTACTAAAGCGACCAAATATAAATATATTCAATATTTCAGAGACTAAAATGATAAAATTGAAATATTGAGAATCAGAATGAAACAAACTTTATATTTTAGGAATCTCTACTATAATTAACCCATTATTTTTAATTTCATNCCACATGCTGCAACTTGGGTGGATTAGTCGGGTTGGAAGGCAAAAGTAAGCTTAAATCTAGTTATAAAATTCTCAACTTAGAATTACTAGAGTACTGAACATGCTTCTATTTTTGAACTTGGATTAAAGTCGGGTTATAAATATCGGCTTCAAAGTCGGGTTCAATTCAACATGAAAGGAGAGTTCAATTTTTAGGATGAAATTTGGGTTTGATTCTCAATTTACAAAGCTTTGGCTGAAAATTAAGTTCAATTCAAGTTGATACCCGCGTTCACAAATTTGGGTTGGGCCACAAAACCCAAATATTCTAAAGCAAATACATCCCGGATCTAAATCCACTTAGATTTTTATTTTTTCACAATCCCAACTCAAATACGAGGAATTTCTATTAGAATACAGAATATTTTGGTTCTAAGTCGAGTTATTCCACCCAAATTGAATATGGTTGCATCCGGCTAACCTTCAATTTTTAACACTCTAACAGTCTCCAATTAATTATTTGAAAATACCCAAAATTCAAATATTCAAACTTTATTGATGTAGACCATAATCCATAATACATTTTTTTCTAGGAATGCAATCTCAATCCAACTTAAATAGTTTTTGTTTCAAGAAAAAAATGTGGAAAACTTTATGGTACGTCCATCAAACTCTATCATTCCAAAATTTCTTTTAGTGTATTTCTAATTCTCCAAGTATGACTAATTTCTTCCTAACTTTTCTTTTTTAGATGTGTTGATGTGTGGCTTTCAAACCTTTTCTACCCACATTGCTGCATAAAACATTACTTAATTGAAAGCAACATGCTGTTAGTTAGATTAAACTTCAATAATGCTGGCCCAAACAGCACATATTAAGTCAATCCTTGGCACATAATCATTCATTTCAGAATATAGTCAAACCTCATCTGTTCCTAAATTACAGTTTTGCCATTTAAAATTCAACAAAAAAATGAAAACACGTTAGATCTCGAATCCAAGGTCCCAGCCAACGCAAATCTGAAGCGTAGAGAAGAATGATTTGGTGTGAGTGCCCACATTGATAAGTTAGGTGTGCTATCTCAATCATCACCCATCATACCTTTCCATTGTCTATTATTCTCACTGTACATCATCAATTCATGTGGGTCTCTTCCATTTCACAAATCAAGTCACTTCTGTCCCACAAGTGGAGGAATAAAATCAATGATGGCCCACTTCTACAGTGGTCTGTACCACACTGGATCAATGGGGGAGAAAATGAGCCGTTAATGTAGGAATAACTTTCGATTCCAGCAAGATCACAACCTTATACAGTGTTGACCAGATACTTCTGGTTTGACCAGTATGGTTGTTGATGGCTTTGTACAGGCTATACACACTAGAAAGTCCAGACACCTACAGCTGGAACCGTACAAGGACAATGAGGTAATTTTAATGATGAGATTCCATTATTCCTTACGCTGAGAGAACCAAAAGCCCAAAGTAAAAGAAAAAGATTGCACTGACAAATCAATTTAAATAAAACATTTAACTGTTCTCCAGCTTAAAAAAGAAACAATAAAAGAAAAAAGAGAAACTACACAATACAGTGCAACAGCAGCACTTTCTGTAGACTGTCCAATCTGGACCATACATTGCACTGTGTGTCTACCACATAACAAGTTATTCAGGATGTATCTTTTGCATGGGGTATACGATGCTCATATTGCAAATGGTTTGGAGGATTGATTTGGTGGGACATGAGTAACAGTGATGAACAAGAACAGTAGAGTTCATGGGGGGTGATGGACCTCAGGTGCACAATGGGTGTTTCTCAAAAGTATTGTTGGGTTAGTTGGCACTAAGAAAATCGAGTGTGCAACAGCAAAGATAGGTCTGTTAGAATAGTTGGCAAATGTGTCAGTAAAAAAAAGAAGCAAAAGGGGTATGTCAAGAAAGCAAGCTTGGACTTGAAGAGAAGAACCTCTCCAATCTATTATGAGATGTAAAAGAACAAAAGATATATAAAATTAGTATGTGTATTATAAGTAGAAAAATATGGGTGGGATGAGAAATTTTGATAACATCAATACATAATTAATGTATTTGAATTTAATCTAAGTAGATTAAATGGATGAATACGATAAGAGTTGTTAAATAGGATNCCACATGCTGCAACTTGGGTGGATTAGTCGGGTTGGAAGGCAAAAGTAAGCTTAATTCAAGTTATAAAATTCTCAACTTAGAATTACTAGAGTACTGCACATGCTGCTATTTTTTAACTTGGATTAAAGTCGGGTTATAAAAATCAGGTTCAAAGTCGGGTTCAATTTAATATGAAAGGAGAGTTCAATTTTTGGGATGAAATTTGGGTTTGATTCTCGATTTACAAAGCTTCGGCTGAATATCAAGTTCAATTGGTAGTGTTGTGATCGTGCAGCAATTATGGTGAATAGTAAGGAATCAAACAATTAAGAAAGCAGGAGAAAATAACACACAGAGATTTACGTGGTTCGGCAATGTGCCTACATCCACGAGAGCGAGCGGCTATTCTTTTCCTTATTGAAGTAGGGTTACATCTTAAGTATTTATATAATCCTAATATTGACGTATTTACAAAAATACCCCTGTACCGTACCGNCCTTATTGAAGTAGGGTTACATCTTAAGTATTTATATAATCCTAATATTGACGTATTTACAAAAATACCCCTGTACCGTACCGTGGGGGCGTTGCCCCCGCACCCCCAACTTATCAGCATCCCCTATATATAAATCCCGCTCCGGCATTTGCCTCCTTGCCATTATGCACATAGCAAAATATGAGCCACACATACTCTAACAGATAGGACAACGATGCTAACACAATTTAAACAAGAGCAAATTAAACTCGTTTCCAGTGGTGTTTGCTCGGAGAAAGAGAGAAATTAGGTTCTCTAATCATTTAAAAGCAATAGCAGTTGGCAGTAGTTAGTCTGTTATTTAAAATCATACATGCCACCAGTTAAGTTGGGCAGATAAGTTTTTCTTCTCTTTATATGATGTCACTCACCACTCTATAGCTCCTAGCTCTGTATATCTTCTTTGATCCCTTAAAATCGGAATTTGATGCTTGTTTTGCTGTTTCTGCAAGTACCCAGTTGGTGAATTTGGTCATTCTTGTATATGTTAAGCAAGCATTAGATATTATACACTATTCAGCGGTTCTCTCNGGAATTTGTTTTGCTGTACCCAGTTGGTGAATTTGGTCATTCTTGTATATGTTAAGCAAGCATTAGATATTANTGCAAGTACCCAGTTGGTGAATTTGGTCATTCTTGTATATGTTAAGCAAGCATTAGATATTATACACTATTCAGCGGTTCTCTCAAACATCTAATTTAGGGGACTGTTCTGAATCCCTGCCCATAAAATTTGATTTTTTCTGTTCATTTTGGGCTACCTATCTGAGAACATCTCAAAAGGGTCTCTGAAAACTGCCCTTTCTGGGTTCTTGTGGGGTTGTTGGTACGAAGCTTCCAATTGAAAACTGGTATATTTTAAATTAGGGCTTGTTTGGACACCATTTGGGTTCTGTTTTAATTGCTTGAAGCTTAGAGGGAAGGGAACCTCATCATTTGGGTTCAAGTGAAATGATTGGAGTCTCATTTTGGATCCTATATTGTTTGATTGGGTGTTCTGTGTGAGGGTTGTAAAGAAAATTGGAAAAGGAACTCTGCTTTCTTTTTGGTACTCTGGTGGGCTATTACTCAGCTAATGCCATACACTTCTCTCTACTTTATGCTCTGAAGGTTGACACTTTCTTGTCTCTATGAATCACTTTTCCCAATATCAGAATAGGCTTGATCCTATGATTTTTTGAAAGTAGCGGTAAGTAGCTGTTGATGTGTAGATTTATGCCTGGTACTTTGGATTTCAACTTTTTCTTTGTGTCTATAGGGTTCTGCAAGGAGGGCTTCTTTTGCTTTAAACCCTTCCCAGCTCTATAAAGCTGCCGAGGTTGTTTGTTCCTTGTTGAGTCTTGCAAGATACTAGCAGCTATTTTTGGTCAAACTCACTTTTTCTTTAAGTCATATAGTTCCTTCTGTTGAGTAACTGTCAAGTCCTCTTTATCCTAATTACTGAATTGGGGTTTCTTTTTGAAGGTGTATTGGTTGAGTTCCATAGATTTGGGTTTTTCTTGTTGTGTTGTGACCATGGGTACAGAAGATAATGGTGATATGGGTTTTCAACATAGGGGTCCTTCTTCTGGAATGAACCCAATTTCAGTGTCTGAGAAGATTTTAGGAAGAGCAATGAGCTCAGGGGCCATAATAAAATCTACAAATGGGGCAGACCCTTTCTTTGATTCTGGTTGGGATTCACTTTCAATGAGTCAGAGTGAGAATTTTGGAGGTTCCTCAATGGTACCTCCCACTGACTTTGCCCATCCACCCTTCCCAGTTTTGCTGGCAAATCAGGCAATTGTTACCTCTTCCCACCTTGTTAATTACCCATCTGATTTGGGTCCTGTTGATATGGTGCCAAAGCTTCCAAGTTTTGGAAGTGGAAACTTCTCAGAAATGGTCAGTTCCTTTGGCCTACCTGAGAGTGGACTGATCACAAACTCTGGCTGCCCTATAAATTATCTCCGAAGCAAGGAGGGTGGCACTGCCAATGCCTCATCCAATAATGCACATTGTCAGGAGAACTGCCAAGTTTCAGAAGAGGGATCATCACCTAATGGAAGGAGGAAAAGGAGGGCATCAGATTCCCCTTCTGCTATAAACACCAGTAAGGTAAATTGTCTTTAGAATTCCTCGTGTTGCATGCGTCTAACATTTAAACTCTTTAAAATATACGTTAATAAATTATACTCAAATTTCTTGAAGTTTATAGATATATAATACTTAGACCCCTCAAATTTAAAATGTTATATTAAACTAAAAATAATTCAAGTAAATATAGAATATCAAATATTTTAAATTTTATAACCAAAATTTATGTTATATTATGTCATTTATTAAAATAAAATTAAAAATAAAATTCAATTTTTTCTTTAAAAACTTGTAATTTAGTAAACAGTTATACTATCTTTAGAACTACTAGAGTACTGCACATGCTGCTACTCTGGTGGGCTGTTATATACAGTTATATCGTGCACATTACAGTTTGGTCCTTTGTTTATTTTTTTTGTTTTATTCCAATAGATAGTATAATTATATATTAATTATGATTTTTTAAAAAAATTATTTTTGATTTTATATCAACTAGTTGGTGCACACGTGCGTTGCACGTGGACCCTTTCGAGCAGCAAATATTACTCATTGTTGATGATAAAAATCATGAACTCTAATAAATCATATAGATTCGTCGTGTCTTTGTCAGCTTTGTAGACAAGTTTTTGAACTCTCTTGCTAGTTAGATGTCGACTATAAGTTATGGAATACATTATTTAGTATTCACGAAAAATAATTAGATAGATAGTTAATAACCAAGNAGTGGAATACATTATTTAGTATTCACGAAAAATAATTAGATAGATAGTTAATAACCAAGAATTAGAATCAATAGTTCACCAATAAACTCATGATTTGGATAACTTCAATAAAACCAAAATGAGAATTATCACATGTTGATTTAGGTAATTCAAGAACTCTTCATCTTCGAGTTTGAATATTTTCAATTTGCTCTTAGACCCCTTCTTGATGCCTTCTTGATGCATCTTTTTTATCTTGAGAACCTTACTCTCACTTTCTACTTCTTGGAGGAGATATTCCTTGCCTCCATTTGAGTGTTTGTGCTTGTCATCATCTTCTCCGACTATTGCGTGAGTATGTTGTGTGGGTGATAATTATTGTTATTGTATTCTTGTCACAAAATTAATAAAACATTCTTTCTTTTTTGTCATNTCATCATCTTCTCCGACTATTGCGTGAGTATGTTGTGTGGGTGATAATTATTGTTATTGTATTCTTGTCACAAAATTAATAAAACATTCTTTCTTTTTTGTCATTGTATAACAAATTTAAATTAACCTAATAATTTAAAAGAAGAATCATGCAACTCAACTTAAACAAAGTGTTCCTTTAATTGAATTTAGTTATCTATAATCCAAGTTTGTTGTCACTCCAAACTGCTTGAGTGGTTAACAATAGCAAAATAAGAATTGTACTCAACTGGTCTTTGGTCCAATGGTACTACTTGTCTTATGAAGACATTGTTTTCTTAAGGTCAAGGGTTCAAACCCCCTTCCCATCTCCCTCTCCCCCCCCCCCCCCAAAAAAAAAAAATATATTCATCATTACCCACACAATAGAATACAAAAATAACTCTCGACCTATGACAAGTTTTTAGCCAAATAAAATTCAATATCTTCTCTTAACCAAGATTAACGAAAAATTAATAGTTAATTATAGGAAAAAAAAAGTTATATAGAAAACCTCTATAATAGTTTATAATAACAAAATTAAAGGAAAAGTAAAGTCATGGAGAGAAAATCTCTCTTAAAAGACAAATAAATAGCTAATTAAACATTTTAATTGATGTCTCATTTGTAAAATTTCTCATATTGGTCAATTGGTTGAGTTTCTTGATGTCTAAAACTAATGAATGCATCCTGGGAAACTCGATCGATTTGGCCGAGTTTCCTATGTTATAAATAAATCGAGACAATATTTTTATCTTTGTTTCTACTCTCTTCCATTCGTNTTTATCTTTGTTTCTACTCTCTTCCATTCGTAATTATATGATTTTCTCATCAAATTCTATTTGATTTTAAATAACTGGTATTCATTTCAATAAATAATTCCCTCGTCAAAGCACAAAGTTTACTTTATAAAAATACTATAATCACTAATATCCAAATTCACTTGTTTTCTACATAAAAATTCAAATTAGCTTCCACCTAAATAGACCTAATACTACAACTACGTCTTTTTTCAGAAGGTGATATTACAATTACCTCATTAAGTAGAGAATATAAGAATCGATGTTCAATTTTATTGAGTTGAGAACCTAGAAATCAACTTCCAAGTTTTTTGCCGAGTATTGTATTTTTTCAGCAACTAAATGGAAGTATTGTTCATAAAAAATTGAAAGCTAAATTATCTACTTGTGCAAGTAGAAAGACAAGAAATTTTTTTGAAATGACTATACATAATGCATAGTTTAGTTTGAGGCATTAACAATTTTACCCTAAGATTATGATTTGGAAATCTAGTCAAGTCACACCTAGTTGGAGATTTTTAGATTTGCACCTAATATACTTACTGAATTGGTTATAAGTAAAACTCAACATTTGGTCATGCATTCAAAATTTGTAGGGAAAAAAAAATCAAGAATCAAGTGTGAGAAGGAAAAAGATTACCATTAATTTGTAAACAAAATATATATCTAATACGATACGGATACTGGGATATGACAAAGTTCAAAAATATAAGACGCGTGTATGTCAAAGATACAACTAATCAAAATAATATAATATATTTTTAGACAATAATAAAATTATAATAATTAAAAATAAAACATATTTTATAATAATATTAATAATGAGATCTAGCAAATATCATTTTTTTTTATTAAAATTAAAATATATCAAAATAAACATCCATAATTTTCACCAAACATCATTACATACATTAACATTCATATTACATAAGTTACATAACCAAAAACACAAAAAAAAAAAAAAACTAAGCTACATTCATTTAAATAAAAATATTAGTCCTGTTTGACTGAACTCATTATTCAAGACACTTCTAACTGTGTCGGACACATGTCTGGTTGTGTCCAACACTGCCACGACACCATCAAGAAGTATACATGCTTTCTAGCTTGCAACTGACCCACTATTTCAATTTGCTATTATTATGTGATGTGCCNCCTGTTTGACTGAACTCATTATTCAAGACACTTCTAACTGTGTCGGACACATGTCTGGTTGTGTCCAACACTGCCACGACACCATCAAGAAATATACATGCTTTCTAGCTTGCAACTGACCCACTATTTCAATTTGCTATTATTATGTGATGTGCCTCACCAGTTAATGAGATATCGCTTTGATAAAAAATAAAAATAGGATATCGCAAGCTTCCATTACCCAAAAGTGGTGATCCGGTTTATTTTTTTATTGTATTTCTTGTGTGTCGTATGAAACATCTGACCAAGGAAATAAAAAAAGATAATACATTCATAAACCTAATTGATGTAGACATTACATATACTTTTAAACACAAATCAATGTCAGCCCCTTTTAATTATATGCCCAGAATAAAAAAAAAACATAAAGATTTCAAAATTGTATGTAATCCATAATTGTCTACAGAAACTTATGTGGGCTCACCTGGAGACTCAAAAAATGTTAAGTATACGCATTCTATGAATAAAAGTCATTGTTAAAGGGTGACTACACCAGGAACAAACTTGTCCTTTGAAGTTCCTTGAGTGTCAATTTTTTCAAGTGAGCTCTCTAAATTAAAGGATGAGTCTAGATTTGCAATATAGATAACTTTTAAGGATAAGTAAAAAGTTCCTCAATGGAGTAATTCGCATTAAAGATTTAATTGTAACATTCACAAATTCAGTCTTTCTAATGTTAGAGTCCTACCTAAAATATTGTCGGAGCCATCAGATTATAATTAGTACTAGAGAATGGTGAAATTAGACACTTGCTTGTCTAAGTTTATATTCAAAATTGTTCAAAATATACCAATGAGCAACAAGAATAAAATGTCACAGTAATAGCAACAAATATCAGAACCAGTGCTCTAGACCATTGTCCATTTCTATCAAGCTGCTGAACTTGCGTTTAAGTAAACTTGTACAATAATATCAAAATAATTAAACGAGGAGATTAATCAAAATAGGAATATAAATTATTAGCAAAGGTATAAAGCCATACAAAAATCTGCTACGTGTTAAAAAAAATTAGAACTAAATATTAGTGAATCTCGAGTCAAGAACGTGTCAAATAAGAGTCAAAACTGCCTCCCCCTAACCCTTGCAATAGCTAACTTCCCACACACCCACCACCAACCTCCATCTCCACCTAGAACTCACCTCCCCTCACCCCTAACCCCACCCCAGCCCACCCCACCCTACCCCACAACTACACAGCCGTTCCTCCATGCACCACCCGCAGCCTCCCCAAAGTTAGCAACAACCCCACCCTCGTCAACCTATCTCTCTACCATCTTTCCAGTCGGACAACCCCTTTTAGCTTCCCACTCCATTCACAACCCAGCCCTTTAACCCGTCGCAGAGCACCAAGATCAAACTCACACCAGATGACGAAGCTTTGTCAACAACAAATTTCGATGAATTTTTTGTTATTATTATGGTTGAACTTGCGAGAATTTGTGTGATTTCTTTATGGGTTGGTCATATTCAGGGAATTGATGCAGTTGAATTTGTGGTTAACTGTGGCTGGGGTTGGCACTGGTGGAGTCGATTTGGATGGTTTGGGGGTGAAAATATCACGTTGATTTGCGATGCCTAAAATAAACGGCGCCAATGCTAGTGGTTCCAGTGGTTGTTATTATCTTTGAGTGTATTCTGCGCAAAAAGAGAAACAAGGTTGCGATATTGTGACTAACTGATGGTAGGCGATGGTAATAGTTATGGATAAATTAAATNGGTTGCGATATTGTGACTAACTGATGGTAGGCGATGGTAATAGTTATGGATAAATTAAATAAATAAGTGAAAGAAAAATTATAGTAGTAATTTTGTAGCAATGTAATTAATCATTTAAATTAGATGAATTATTGTGTATTTAAGTATTAATATGGTAAAATACTAGTATAATTAT